AAGTTCGGTGCAAGTTTTGCAGCCAACTGACATATATACTTTTCTGCAAAACAACTTTCTTCCTGTGACAGACCAATCTTCTCTTATAAAAATGGTTTGGTTAGCTCCATATTATACAGAAAGCAGACCCACTAAGCTTTCTTTCAAATGTTTCAAAGATGGCTAGGCTTTTTTTTTTTTTTTCGTTTTATTTCATGCTAGATTGATTAAAGAATTCATTGGAATTGAGGTGTACAGAAAACTTTTATAAAGGTGATATTACATCAAATATTAGTATTAAATTTAGTTGAAAAATGCATGTGAAAAGATTGTGAGAATAATTGAAGAATATACCCATTATCATATGTTAAAAATAATTGGTTTGGATTGACTTGAACAATACTCCGTCAAAGCCAACTAGTTATAAGCCCACTTTGAGTTATTAGAAATTCAGGCCTATTCTTAAGCATTCTTAAGCTCCATTAGCCCAAGCCTACGCACTAATTCATTTGGAATCGGTTTCAGCAATGAAAACCGATCAAAATGTATTAATTTGTGTCAGTTTATTTGATATTGATGTAAATTGTTTAATATGTAAAGTTATGAGATTATTAATTTAATTTTTGGATAGATTAGATTAATTGTTAAATTAATAAAGATATTTAAAAATATAAATATTTTAAAAATTCATTCCATCATGATAGATAATAAAATTCTATTGTAGATAATTAATACTAAAAAAATTAAAATATATAACATAATATAATAAATGTGAAAATATATATTTAAATTATATAAAATAAATTTAAATTATAAAAATAAATTTAAAACTCAAACTCTGAAAATATTAGTCAAAATGTCAAATAATGCAACCATATTAATTTAAAGAACAAAAAATAAATAAATACTCTAAAATCTTAAAAGCACAAAAAAATTATTATAAAAAAAAAAGAGAAAACTCAAGCAAAAATATTTAAAAAATAAAAAATACTTTCAAAATGATAATATTTGATAAAAAAATCAATCAAGCTGCAAATTAATGGATAAAGTTTTAATTTTAAACAATTAAGTAAATAACATAATTATTCATAATTTTAATTATAAAAATTAAATTAATTATAATTTTAAGATCATTTTATTAAAAATTAAAAATTTATCAAGTTCAATCAAATCCAGCGGGTTCATCGATTTATTAATTTAATCAACGGTTCAATACAATTTAAAATCGAGTTAATTACAAGTACAATCTCTTATTAAATTTATCATTTTTGTGTTTAAATTAAACAAAAATTACAGACAAAATGGTAATTATGAGAACTGAATTGACTATCATTTCCAAACTTGCCATGTGCATAGCAAAAAAGATTGAAAAATGAAAATCCAAACCTTGCAATTAGTCTTTTCCAAAATCATTTGATGATGGAAACTTGAAAGTAAAAGATTATGATGATCCTTTGACCATGAATCAAGCAAACAAAAATAATTATTTATTGTGCTTTTTTATTCTCATTACTCATATACATAGTATGTGAATAAAACTATGAGTCAAAAAGCTCATAATCTCAAATTTAGTGCAGTTTGGTGTATTTAATTATTTTTAGAAGGTAATATTTTAAAATTTAAATTTCAGTACATGAAATTTTTTTTTTCTAAATTACAATCCCTTAGGTAAAAAACAATTTAGAAAAAAACTTCGAATTTATTTTATTAAATCTCACAAATTAAAAATAAAGTGAAATTTTAAATATTTAGTTGAATTCGTGTGTGAGATTCAAAGGCTCAATCTTAAAAAGCGACTCTTCAGTCCAAGAAGGATGATCATTGTCATCAATGACACAATGTTAACTCTAATATCAACTATTACTGTTTTATACCAACTTTGAAAATATTGTCTCCTTCTACTCATTAGGACTAACATTTTTATCTTACAAAAAATGATTTACAAATTAAAAATGACAAACATTTTAAATGTACTCAACCAAACTCTAATACATATCCAATGTGATTCATGAGTATCTTGCATATTAATTTCATGATATAACATTTAGTAAATGCAAAGACATGCTTATTATATAAGCTTATTGGATCTAGAGATAAGGGTGAGTAAAAATTAGTTTGATCTGATAAGACTAATTAAAACCAAGTGAATTCGATTAATTTAGTTTGATCTATTCAGTTTTAGTTGTAATCAATTTTTTAGATTGGTTAAATTGATTAATTTAATCGATTTTTAGTTTTTAAAATCGATAATCGAATCGAGCAAATTAATCAATTTTTTAATAAGTGATGGTAAAAAGATTGATATGAGTTTTTTTTTTTTGGTAAAAATATTGTTAAAATTATTAAATTTTTTAATAATTTAATTCAAATTATATTTGAGATTAAATTTTATTAAATTGAATTTATGATTAAATAGTTATTTATAATAAAAAAATTATGAAAAATATGATTATTTAACCAAATCAATCGAATTAAACATATTTTGGTTGATTCGATTATGTTCAGTTATTTAAAAATTTTCAATCGAATCGATTATTTGATAAATAAAAATCAATTAATTTGATTATTAATTTTTTCAAATCAAACCAATCAATTACTCACCTTTATCTGAGGATGACAAAAACACTTACAACCAATAGATTTTAAACCGCACTAATCCAATAGGAACAATTTTATTTTTGAAATCAAGCATCTAATTAGAGGCAAAGTGGGTATTTTTCTAAAATGTGAGAGTCGGATAGTACTTCATCTTAACCCGTTACGATATATATATATAAATATATTTTAATAAAATTATTATTTAATTTAAAATATTAATGTAATGAAAATATTATATTTATATATAATTAAAATATAATTTATTTTAAAAAATAATATTTTATTAATATAATAAATAATTAAAATTATTAAATAATTAAAAATCAAATGCAGATCGAACATTATACATATATGCATCAAATATAAAAAATATTAAATCAAATTTAATCGAATGTAAATTTTTAAAAATCAAGACAAGCAAAATTCTGTGCCAACCTATTACCATCCCAAATTGGAACATTTTTTTTTGGTTACATTAGGAGAGTAAAATCCTAGTACAAGTAAGAAAGAAGAGAGATTTGGTTCGAAATCAATTCCTTAATATCTTCTCAAACGTTTTTAACCACTAAATTAAAAGCTTACAAACAACTCCTTAATGTCCCTTCATGCGTCTTTAATTACTAAGCTAAAGGGGGAACACTTCATTTTATAAGCTTGCTTGACAAATTTGAGATCGTTACCAAGAGACAAGAAAAGATCTCAATAATAAGAGCCGTGAGCACTTTCAAAGATTGACTATCATATTTCTTATATAAATTTATTAATTTTTTTATAATGCATTTTAGTGAAATGTATAATAATATTGTTAGTAAAATTTAAAAATTTACAGATCAATACTGCAATTTCGTAATAATCTTTTTTTTTTTTCAAGTGTGACATTAAACACTCCATAAAGAAAAAAAATCCAAATTTGGCTTTGTAGCATTGGTTTATTCGATTATGGTCAATTATTTAAAAATTTTCAATCATATCAATTACTTGATAAATAAAAATCAATTAATTCGATTATTAATTTTTTTAAACCGAACTGATCAATTACTCACCTTTATCTAAGGATGACAAAAACACTTACAACCAATAGACTTTGAACCGCACTAATCCAATAGGAACAATTTTATTTTTGAAATCAAGCATCTAATTAGAGGCAAAGTGGGTATATTTTCTAAAATGTGAGAGTCGGATAGTACTTCATCTTACCCGTTACGATATATATATATAATATATTATATTTTAATAAAATTATTATTTAATTTAAAATATTAATGTAATGAAAATATTATATTTATATATAATTAAAATATAATTTATTTTAAAAATAATATTTTATTAATATAATAAAAAATTAAAATGATTAAATAATTAAAAATCGAATGCAGATTGAACATTATACATATATGCATCAAATATAAAAAATATTAAATCAGATTTAATCGAATGTAAACTTTTAAAAATCGAGACGAGCAAAATTCTGCGCCAACCCATTACCATCCCAAATTGGAACATTTTTTTTTTTTTTGGTTATATTAGAAGGACAAAATCCTAATACAATTAAGAAGAAAGAGAGAGATTTGATTCGAAATCAATTCCTTAATGTCCCTTAAGTGTTTTTAACCATTAAACTAAAAGCTTAAGAACAACTCCTTAATGTCCCCTCAAGCATCTTTAACTACTAACCTAAAGGCTTGGGAGCAATTCATTTTATAGGCTTGCTTGACAAATTTGAGATCGTTAGACAAGACAAGATCTCAATAATAAGAGCCGTGAGCACTTTCAAAGATTGACTATCATAGTTCTTATATAAATTTATTAATTTTTTTATAATGCATTTTAGTGAAATGTATAATAATATTGTTAGTAAAATTTAAAAATTTACAGATCAATACTGCAATTTCGTAATAATCTTTTTTTTTTTTCAAGTGTGACATTAAACACTCCATAAAGAAAAAAAATCCAAATTTGGCTTTGTAGCATTAGGTGTGGACGTTACATATATAATAATACAATCTTGATCTTACCATACATTTTTCTGTCTCATATTGCATTGATTTTCACGTAATTTAAAAAAAAATTAATTTTAATATTAAAATTTAAATTTTTTCATAAAATTAAACTTTATGATTTTTAATGTTAAAAAATAAAAAAAATCATAAAATATAATTTTAAAATATAAAAAATAAGAGTTTTAGATATTTAATAAAAAAATATGACATAATTTTAGGATATAAAATAAATAAATTAAAAAAATGGGACAGTAATGCAATCTTGATCTTACCATTCATTTTTCTTTCAAAGAAGGACCAACATTTTTTTTATATATGGTATATTAAAGCACGAATTAATCCATACAATTATTTTTATTCAATTAATTTATATAATTATTTAAAAAATGATATTAAATAGGTCTCAAATTGAAATTTCAGAACTTATAATTTTTTATTCTATATCAGACCAATACATTTTTACACAAAAATCATGCAAATTTTACCATCAAAACACTTAAATAAGTATATAAAACATAGTCAAATATATTACATTTAGAAAAGACAACACAGCATCAAGGTCGAATTAAATAAAATATAATAAAAGAAATCAAACATAAATTAGGTTTATTCTCTTGTCGTCAGTACCTATGAGATTTGGACTCACCAGCTTGAAAGAGACAGAGGGATAATCAGACGCAAGAGAGTGCACATTTCAGTTACGTGGATGCGAATTTTCAGCAATCACAATTTGCCACGTCATCATTTATTTTCACATCTGGATCCACCTGGCGAGCTGAGTAGGATTAACAATTCCGGGAATGTGGGCCCCGTCGTTCTTCAAAATACTTGCCACCTCAGCATAGCTTTGGTTCTCTTTCTTAAGATTCGGTTCGTTTTCCTGCTTAACTGGCTTTCTCGGTTCAGCCAATGAGCCAATCAACGGAATCGCCTCTGCTCGAGCCGGATCAAATTTTTTACCAAACAATGTTCCCCTCGTCAAGAACTCATGCGCCATGTAGCCAGCTAAAAGCCGGTTCGAACAATTAGGTGAAGACGGAGATTTTGAACCGGTATAAACCGAGGGTTGAACCGGAATTGACGGTTTAAAGGAATTAAAAGCTTCTCTCTCTTTGCGCTTTCTTGAGATTCCAGGTGTCATAATCCTACGAGGGTGATGATTCATTTTTTTCAAAAAAAAAAAAAGCCTTTAAATCATGCCACGTAAGAATAAGGTTAAGACCGTTAACTCGTCGTTAACAAAGGGGCAAAAACGTCAAATACGATACTTGATTTTTTTCTTCACACTTCTCGTTTGGGTAGAACTGTCAAATCAACTTTATCGAGAAGTGAACGAAAATGTCCAACTAAATGAAATTACTCAACAACCCCTCAGGTTGAAATAAATCACAAAAAAACCCACCTAAAAAGAGAATTAAAAAATAATAATAAAATAATTTTTAAAAAATTTTTTAAAAATAAATTAAAATAAAATACAGAGATTTTCCAAATAAAAATAAGAGGTGGCAGGGAACTCAAAAGAGGCAGTTTTGGATCTGGATGTACGGACGGCGGTTGAAGGGGTTAAGCCGCAGGTGGGTGGCGGAGGAAAGAAGTTAAGGCGAGATTTCAGAAACAGCAAAGACAAGTAGAGGAAAAGAGGGGAAAAGGAAAGACAAACAAGAGAAATACTAAAGTCGTGGCTACCCGAAACAATATATATGGTAGGAGGTTTTGGAACGAACCTTAGTTTTAGAAAAAATACCGAGAATGCCATTATTTGATTTTTGGAATGACGGAAAGGTCCTTTGCCATTTCAAGATTATTCTCCATCAGTGTCCATCTCTCTTTTGCGAAGTTTCAGATAAGGTGGAAGAAATTACGGTTGTAGCCCTTAGTTTATTTTACCCAAAGCGGAGGTTTAAGGGCAATTATCGTGGGTCATTTTAAATATAATAATTTTAATTAGATATAATAATTTTAAATATTATAAATTGATGTAATATAAAAAAAATATAAATTAATATAAATTAAAAATTTGGTAAAAAAATATGAATGAGTTTAGAAAAAACTAAAAAATATATATTATATTTAAATTAATTGACATAAATTATAATATAATAATTTTTATATTTTACATATATTTAATTCAAATAAATATGAAACCTATATAAAATTATCAAATTTACTTTTCACTGTTTACTCTCTCTTCCTTTGTTAGTTTTTTTCAAATTTTTTGTTATTTTCACTATGAAGTACTTTTTTAAAATTTTAATTTAAAATAAATAAATTGCTCAATTTTTTAAATTTGGCAAAATAGTTCATACTACACAAGTGAAACCTATATAAAATTATCAAATTTACTTTTCACTGTTTTACTCTCTCTTCCTTTGTTAGTTTTTTTCAAATTTTTTGCTATTTTCACTATAAAGTACTCTTCTTTTTTTTTTTGAAATTGAATTCAAAATAAATAGATTGCTCAATTTTTTAAATTTGACCAAATTGTTCATATTACACAAGTATCATGTATTCGAGATTAATATCAACAATAAATCATTGGTGTAATTTAAAATCAAAATCACTTACCTGTAGGAAAAAACAAATCTATCAATTAATGTTTTATTTTGGATGGCTAATAGTAGATTTAACAATTTTAAACATGACAAATGACACAACATGAAAATGATATGAAAAAAATTATATAAAAATTTAGTATAATCGTATTTTATGTTTTAATCATATCGATATAATTAAGACACGATATTATTCGTATCATATTCGTATCAAATAGTAATGACATATTTAAAATACAGCATTACTCATAACATAAAAAATTTTAAAATTTATTTTAATTTATTTAAAAAATAAATTAATAATCATATTTATCTTATCATTTTGATGTTTAAATAGATTATAAATATTCAATTTTTATATAATTTTTTGTTTAAATACTAATTTAAATGATATTTTTGTTTAAATAAATGAATTGATCGTGTTTAATCATGTTATTTATATATAATCGTATTAATCGTATCGTATCACGTCGTATTATTTGGGTAATTAATCATATCTAATCGTGTTATATTTATATAATCGTGTTAATTATGTTATGTCATATCGTGTTATTTGGTATAATTTAATTTTAAATGTATTAATCATATCTTATTGCATGTAATATGTATAATAAACATATTATATTCGTATTTAAGTTATTCATATCATTTAAGTATTCATATTATATTCATATCAAGATTATTCGTATTATATCTAAAATTACATTTGACATAAAATACGATATGATAACATAAATTATTAGATCTAGCTAATAACGACCTAAATGAAGCCAAAATCAACCCTCTATTAATCTACACATTTTCACCATATTTGGTCTATATAGTTGTGTAAAGAGAAATAAACTTACTATTAATGTTTATAATAAGATTATCAATTTATCATAATACTCAAAAACTAATTAATTAATTTTATTTTCATTTGGGTTTACACTTTTTTCGCAAGCTTGAGAAAGAATTCAAATGTTATATATATATATATATATATATATTTATATGTCACATTTTCTTTCTTCAAAACAATTCATAAATCTTGTCAAAAAGCAAGAATCAATGTATAGAGTTGGAGAGAGAAAATGAAAGGCATTTATTTGGCCTAAGTTGATGGAGACATTCATCAACCTCTATACTATGATTGGCTAAATTTTTATTCTCTTCCATGACAATGCCTAAGAAAGCTCAATCCATGGTCATCATTTTTTTTTTAGAAACCAATTATCTTTCTTATCTTTTCCTCATTGCATATGACGACTGAATTTTCTAGCCTTTTTCATGTAATTTTATGAATTGAAAGGGACACAAAATAATATATTATCCTTGTGTCACAAGCATTTCTTTTTCTAGATATGTATTATTTCTATATTATCATGTATCTGTTAAATTTTAAAATTTTTTATTTTATATTTGAATTGAATTTTTTTGCCAATTATTAGCTAATTTTAAGTTAAATGTTTAATATAGTATTAAATAATTCTGAGAGTATTTATTGATTGATGAAAAGAGTATCAAAAGAAAGATACTAAAAGTCTATTTGAATAGACGGTGAGATTAATTTTGATAAAATTATAAATAACGGTGAATTTGAAATTAAAATTAGTAACAAGGATATGTGTTTGAATGTAAACGTAACAATAACGGTTAAGTGAATTATAATAAGAAGATAAATAACCATTAAAAATATTAAATTAAAATATATTTTTAATAAATATTTTAAATTATTTTAAATTTATAAAATTAATAAATATTTTAAAAATTATTAAATTATTTTATATCAAATAATTAAATTATTAGATTATTAAGTAATAAAATTGATTATGTAATAAAATTTATAATTATTAAATTATTAAGTTATTTAAATAACAAATCAAAATAAAAAAAAAAGTTAAGGCATTTTTGTTATAGTAATAAAACTTATGGATAAAATTAAGGGAAAAAAAAAAACTTCACTGGCCAGTTACCAACTAGACAATAATGTCACATGAGACTAATTTGTTAAACATGTATGCAGTCAAGATGCAAAAGATTCGATATTGCAGTCTTTATGCAATCCATCGCCATCTGGATGAGATGCAATTCCAAAAACAACATTTTATTCTCAGCTAAATTAACAGATAATAAATTCTAGGTTGTATGGGATCAACTCTAAAAAATATACTAATTACTGTTGACAAGAAAGAAATGAAAATTTTCCCTGAGGTTAATACTCTGATGAATTCCTCTCAAAAGTCTCACATCAAAGTATATTTTGAGTCCTTGAATTCACATTAAGAGTATTATGTGAACAAAAATGATAATAGGTTTCATACTTAATAAATACATAGGTTTTGGATGTTAGTTTGGAATTGTTAGATAATAGGCATAGAAACTAGTGAAGTGAGTAAGTTATTAAAAATGTGTAATTAGGTTTTGGATTAAGTTTTGAGTAACGAGTTTTTGGTGACTTTTCTCATTTCAAAAGTCTATAAATTGTAAAAACTTATTTGATAGTGGATTAGGTTTGGAGTAGGCTATTTTGAGTTAGGCCGAAATAAATATATTTGTGTGTTCTTATTCTTGATTTGAGCTTACTATTTTGTGTATAGGTGCTAGGTATGCGTATTGATTTCTTAACAAGTAATATCAGAACTATGGTGATCCCTAGTAATTGGTATCAGAGTGAGATTTGAGGTTCGTAGAAAGATGTTTGAAGAAAGTATGTCTAGTATGCCTATGCCTAAGTTTGAGATTTCATTATTTGATGAAAAAAGTAATTTCATATTATGACAAAGTATGATTCAAGATCTGTTAGTACAACAAGGATTAGATTAGGCATTAGAGAGTAGTAAGCCTGACAGAATATCTGACGATAATTGAAATAGAATTCAAAAGAAAGCGGTTAGTACTATAAGATTGATGTTAACCCTAGAGGTAAAGTATAATGTGTTGACTGAGAGTACTCCGAAGAGTTTGTAAGATAAGCTTGAGGGTATTTATGCATCGAAATCGTTAACTAACAGATTATGTTTGAAAATAGATTTATATTCTCTTAAGATAAAAGAAGGTACAAGTTTTCATAATCATCTGAATGCGTTTTAATAGATTGATTTCTCAATTACTAGCAATTTTTGTTGATGAGTTAAAAGATAAAGAGAAGGCTTTAATTTTGCTGTCATCTTTGCCTAAGTTTTATAGACCTTTAGTTCAGACTTTGTCGATATGTAGGTCTACTTTGAAGTTAGATGATGTGACTGCCTTTTTACATGAGAACAAAACATTTATGGAAGCACAAAACTCATCACCTGAGGAAAATACACTAGCTGTAGAAGATTTGATTGAAGGAAGACTCAAAAAAAGATTGATGGATCAAAAGAAAGATCCAAGTTAAGAGATAGAGATTATAGTGACATAGATTATTATTATTGTGGTTAAAAGGGACATATCCAAGTGCACTATAAAAAGCCGAGAAGGGATATAGTTGTCTTCAAAAGGGCGAATGATGAAAAAAAATCGGATGATGGAAAGAATGATACTGCTACTGTTGTATATGATGATGATGTTGTTTTGACGATTTGTATTGATGAGACTCTGACTTTGAAAGGTGATAAAAGTTGAGTTTTGGATTCTACTGCTACAGTGCATGTTTACAATGATAGGAGTTACTTTGTGAAGTTGGATGAGAATGAGAAGTATGAGGATATTGTGGTTGCCAACAACGAAAAAGTACAAATTTAAGGCATTGAGAGTGTTCGCCTTGGATCTCACAATGGTGTTGTTAAGATGCTTCGTCATATAAAGTATATACGAGTTGTAACTACAATTTAATTGCTTTGGGTGTGTTAGCTTCTCAGGGGTATACATACTATAGGAGTAATGATTTGTTGAAAGTGTACAAAAATGATAGTATGATTCTACAAGAAAATAGGGTCAAAAATCACTCGTACATGCTTGATGGAGACTCAATTGTTGGGATCTCTGTGATGAAAGAAAAGAAAAAAGGTAAGCATGTGCGCTTTTGTAGATTCTGTTGAAGTGTTTGAGAATTCAAGTCAAAGAAAAATTTGTTGAAATTTACCTTAAATCTCAAAATCTCACATTGAAAGTTGTAAAAGTTTTGAGTTTGTCTTATATCCCACATTGAGAGTTTAATAAAGATATAAAAGGTTTCACCCTTATAAATAAGATATTTTTATTTTAGTTTGATAATATCAGATAGTTAAATACCAAGAGAATAACTATGTGAGTAAGCTATTAAAAAAGTGTAATTAAATTTTGGATTAAGTTTTGAGTAAAAAATTTTTTATAACTTTTTTCATTCCAAAAGTCTCTCAATTATAAAGATTTATTTGACAGTGGACTAGATTTAACGTAAACCATTTTGAATTAAGCCGAAAAAAATATATTTATGTGTTCTTATTCTTGATTTGATCTTACTAATTTGTGTGTGGATGTTGCGTATGCATGTTGATTTCTTAACAATTGGTATCAGAGCTGTGATGATTCCCAACAAATATTTGTAGAGTTGTTGTTGGAAGCTCATGACATTTCCCAATTAGCTAAATTGCATAACTAGTTGTAATCATGCATCAAAGAATATGGATTTTTGCAACTGAAATTTTAACTCTGCAATTGTATCTAATTCATATGCAATTATTTCAAATCTCAATGTTTAACCAAGCATAACCTTCCATGCTTAGTTAAGTCAGAACCTGTAATTTATGCCTCACCCTTAGAGCAATGAAGAAAAATAACACAAATTCCTGTTTGATGTACATTATAGTTGAGCACTTCTAATATCAAATTTACTGCAAAATTTGAGATCAAAAGTCACATTTCTTATTTTTGTCAAACTTATATACGGTTTTTTTTTTTTTAATTTTAAACCGTCTCACTTTTGTTTTGTTTTATTTTTTTTTATTTTCATATCATATTATTGTTTTTAAGCATCCAATTTAAAATCAATTAGATGTAAATGAAAGGACCCAACTTGAAAATAAGACTACAGGATGTGAGATATCACCACTTTAACAGGTTCGCATCATGTGTAAACTAAGATGAAAGAAACTTTCCATGTGATAAATTTGGAATGGGTAACCGAAGAAAATTTTGACTTTAATATCATATTAAACATCCAACTTAAAACCAATTGACTATAAGTAAAAGAGCCCAACTTGAATATAAGACTACAAGATGTGGGATAACATCATTTTAACAATCATGTCGTATCCAAAATTTTTAACAATCAAGCCGTATTCAAAATTATAAGGTCTAATCTTCACCAATTAAACTAACTTATGCCTTTTTTCTCACAAGTACAGCTATTGGTCGGAATCATGATACTCTCATTTTAACAAAAGGTTTGAACATATCAGGCTATGCCATAAGAATTAAATAGGGAAAAGCAAATCAAAAAGAGAGGCAAAGAATAAAAATTAGTCAATGCTTTACCGACAAATTTGGTCATTATCATTCCTTGGGAAGATCTATTCCAGCCTTCTTAGCAACAGCATCCAGTCCATTCTTCTCTATGGTCTTCAATGCCTTGGTTACAAACGCAATTTTACATAGCGCTTATCAGCTTCCCACCAAACCTTCTTGTATTGGAGGTTGACAAACAGCAATTTCTTCGTCTTGTGGTTCGAGAAAGAAACTTTGTTCGCTTTCTTTGCTTTCCTCCTGGTGAAAGGGCATACTCTGCCTGAAACGATTGATCAAGTTATGAATAACAATCATTGTCCACCAATCAATTACATGGCTCTGATCAAAAACCAACAAAATCGGGTGAAGATGGCCTACAAGAACAACTACAATTAAGGGATAATATATAATTTAACACTTAAATTATACTATATTCAATAATTTGGTACTTACAAAAAAAAATTCATAATTAAGTATCTAAATTTTTATTCTGTCAAGCATTTTGCATCACCGAGTAAAACCGTTAGTTAAAATGTTGACGTGACAAATATTAACCAATAAAAATGTCTCATGTGTCATGATATTATTGGTTTTTTTTTTTTTGTCACATCAGTTTACCATTAACAAAATTAGTATGTAGGTTTTGACGAAAATAAAGTTTGGATTTGGATTCCTAATTGTGAATTTTTTTTATAGGTACTAAATTATAAAAATGATATAATTTAAGGATTGAATCATGCATTAACCCTATTATTAAATAAACAGTACATAAACCAAGCAAGATAGCCAATGCCATTAAGAACATTTGCAGACTAGTTATGTATAAACAAGCTATACAAGCCATTTCTATACAAGATACATAAAGCATTTCTTTTTATGAACACTCACCATCATGCAACAAAAGGCTACAATCTCATCAATAATAGCAACTTATATTTTCACCTCCACCTTACATCTGTCTTTAGTTCTAAATTCTACAAGTAGAATGTAAACGAACAAAATATTCGACGAACAATTCATAAATAGCTTTCGACGAACAATTCGTAAATAGCTTCAGTTTCCGCTCATTTATATTTGTTTATTAAGTTTAACAAACGATCACAAACAATATTTCAATGTTCGTTAATTAAACGAACATATTACGTGCATAGCAAAGTTCATTCATGTTCAGTTTGATTACATCCCTATGCACAGGGAAAACCATGATCAACAATCTACAACTCCCATATCCATAAATTTACCTTTAGTCTTGAACATTTAACCAATCACCAATACCCCATTCTACCAGCTCTCCCAACCAAATAGAACAAAAATTCTTCCATAGACTGTACATTAAACCAACAAAACACAAAGTTCCTCTCCTCAAAACTCTTCTGGAAGCAATACATTAAACAACTCAGACTGAAACACTTGTATTTTAACTTTCACAAACTCTAATGTATAGCAAATTCCAGCTTAGAATTAGCATACTACGGTTGCCGATAAAAATTTGTTAAATTCAAACAATTCACGTTTTCATTTAAACTTAGCATTCAAATGAACAAACTCAGATATTATTTTTGGAAAATTTCACTACCAATCTCCTAAAAACACCCACTTGCATTTACGTAAGTATAAGTATTACCTTTCAACTCCATAATGGAGTTTCATATAATGCAACAAAAAAAGAACAAAAAGAAAAGTGCAAAATTGAAACCAACAAAGAAATTTAATTATAAAACTGAAATAAGAATACAAAACCATGGGTAAAAAACAAAAGAGACAAAGGATTTACGAGCAACAGGCCGCGGAGCAGGGGTGAAAGGTGAGGATATGGGTTTTACAGGTGCCACGTAAGGGAGGTTGTAGGAGATATTGATGCCACTGAGTCGAGAAGTGAAAGAACCCAGTAGTTGTAAAGATAGCCTTGTCTTTGAAGGCTCTGGTTTGTGAAACCTGAGAACTGAAGTACTTCCCAAAGTAGCCAACATTGCCATTGTTGCTTTATCTGTCCTTCAGTTTTTCTGTTTATCTGTTTGATTTTGGGAAGCCAAAACAAAAAAACGTGTGGTCAATAATTTTGTTCGCTTTTTTCATTCGCTCTTTTTTTTTAATCAAAAAATGGTCTCTGTTCTTTTAGTTACCGTTTTGGGCTTTGGCCTTTAAATAAAAGAGCAACAACCCTTTCCCTGTAAAGGAAAGGGGCCAAGCTTAAAATCAAAGTGCGACCCCAGCATTCAAAGGTCAAGCCGAAAAACAAAGTGAGCAAAATGTATGTAAATTATTGTATTTGAAGTTTGAATAATATGCAAGTAAAGATTATTGCATGTGAAGTTTGATTCAATGACAGAAGCTTGACACAGTGATGATGATTAAAAAATAATCTGTAATGTGATCAAGCTATCATGGATTTATCCTTTATTAATGGTGATGAACGGGAAAAAAAATAGTCGGCGGCCCTATTCTTGCAAGACTACAAAAATACCAGTGTAATAAACAAATTTTATCTGTAGTATTATATATATAATTTTAAAGTAATGTCAAATAAAAAGCAGATAGAGACAGACTGGCTCCTCAGAAGCTGATACATGGAGTGACCATCATCAAGCTGGTCAGATAGATGTAGTTCCCCTTCCTTCCAGTGCCTCATACATTGCAACAAAGGGTCCTTCTCTACATGCACATGGAAAAAGTACGGACTAGTTGAAGCCAATCTACCTCTGAAAAGAAATTCTAAATCCAATCCAGTCAAAGTAACATTTCCTTGTCATATGGCTGAGGCCTACTGTGGTGATTGGCAAAGTTCCAATGTAGGATGATGATGATGATGAACATACTAAAAAAATGAGTACGCAGGGATGCAGTGATCTAATTCATTTTGGAAATTTCACCTGGTAAAGGTCTGGTAGATGTACTCCACTGTCACAATCCGGTCATCAACTAAGCGTCCATGTATACAGTGTGCAGCCATGCATGATGTCTCTATTCTTCCATACTCAACAAAGACACAGCCAGGCTCAAAAATCAGTTGCAGACTGGTCTCCTTACTATTTTCACCCTTCTTAGTAGTATTTGATTCCATTCTCGCATTACCAGAACTGTCAACAGCTTCTTGTAACTTTCCACCGGCTTCCTCAAGCTGCAGATCTTCTTTGGGCACCAATTTCTTTTCCACATTTATGACTTCACTTTGAATATTGTCAGCAACCTTGTCATATTGAGAGTCAGGTTCCTGTTTAGGGAACCCTGCAGCCTAGGAATCTTTTGAGAAATTGTTATGGACACACTCTTAAGAGGCAGGATCTTCCACTGCCACCTCAGTATGACTTTCTGGTAACTTTCCATTGACTTCCTCCGGATTTGAATTTTCTTCAGCTGCTAATATCTTGTCAATATTTGTGGCTTCACTTTGAATATTATCAGCATTCCGGTCAGGAAAATAATCTGATTCCTCTTTTGAGGGATTCATCAGATTAGGAACCTCTTGAGAAACTGTCGACTATCTCCAAAGCCAGATCTTCAACAGCCATTTCATTATGAAGCTGAGCTCCAGCAGCAATGTTGCTACCAAGCCCCCAGGATGACATTGCTCAGCATCCAAGCTCCCATGGTTTATGTCTTCACCATTGATGTTACCTGCAAACTCACCTTGTTGACATAACTCATTGTCCACAAGGTTGCCCAAAGGTTTCTCATCATTATAGCTGTTGCCTGCCGTTAACTCATGAGAGTCACTTGGAAATTTTATCCCAGCAGTTCCTCCAGAGTTTCCATCTGCAACTTCTTCCATTGTCTCTGTTTCAACATTTATTTCGTCATCTTCTAGGTTCTGCCTGGTCCCAGTTTCCCTTGTATTATCGTCCATTATGTTATTTCCAGTTGCGATGATACTGTTTGCATGCTTGACAACATTAACGGATTTAATAGTACCAAACCTGCAGGATTGATGGTTCAACATACATTTTCAGATTAACCCAATAAAGAAATATGATCACGAAAAGAGATAAGATTCAAATGGGGTGTTTTGTCAGACCTGGAACACTCTAACCTCACATCTTCTAGTACTTCTTCTACCTCTGCTTCAGATACTGATGAAAAATCCTCTGGGAACTAGGCCACAAAAACAAGGACAAGAATTACGATAAGGAAAATGGTTTTCCTTTCAGAAAAAAGAACATCAGTCAGTGGACTAGAAATAAACGTCTTTAATGCACATCTATGGAAGTCAAAACATGAAACATAATTACAAACATAACTACACATGCATCAAATCAATATACTTTACCAGATTTTTAAGCTTGAGGATTTGAGTAGGCTTCTGAAGAAGTGACGTCGCAAGTTGAGGGATAACACAGGATTCTTGGTCTCCACCATTTCCCTAGGAAATGTTTCTTCCAGTTAGTATAAATCTCCATGTAACATTATGGCTAATGAGGAAAAAAATTAAAACTGAAGCGTTGTAAGGAAAGTGACAGTGCTTGTGTAGTACCAAGGATGAGCCATCAGGAAAAGCCTGAACAGCAGTGATCACTTGTCCTCCCAATTTTATTCCATTCAGACCCGCACAGGTTTTGAGAGTAACAGATTGGTCTACATACTCATATATTAACTTATCAGCTATTCAAGTTTCAAAGAAAAGATTGAATAACAAGAAAAGAATACAGGAGACGCATAAGGAAAGAACAGAAGTAAATAAGAAAAAAGAGTAGGGAGAACAGCTGCAACGGTTCGACACTTATTTGCAAAAAAACAAGCATAAAACAGAAGTAAATACATTCCCTGTTACCTCCAGAATAGCATATTGTTCATTAAGATCCACATTGATCTCGACGTGCCCTAAACTGAAAATGGCATAAAAATCCTAGTTAGTTTAAAAGAGTGATAAACTCAAAAATGAAAATGAGAAAGAGAAAAGGATAATTAGTATGGAGGAGGTAGATGATGCCGGAATATAAGAGCCCTTGAGCTAATTTCTGAGCAGCATTGAGAATTTTACAATCATAATACCATTTCAGATGAAAGCCATTGAAATTCCACCAATGAAGATCTGCACCAAACTCCAATAAAAGGAAGTAGTACATAAGGATTGCCACAAAACTAGAGTAAGTAGGTTAAATGCCATCAGCAAGAGGTGCAGGTGGTAATATGGCAACATCCAAAAAAAGAAAGAAGGCGACAAGACAGCTGTAAATAAAGATAAAATAAATTAGAAAATAATGGCAGTGCCTCAATAGTATGCAATACGAGTATTTTACCGCATGTAGCAGTCAAGTAAATAATGAATACATACCTTGTAATGTGAATCCTTCACAATATCACTGATTGTGTTCACTGTTGCCTCTGATTTCTCCAGTTCACCAGTCGGCATGAAAAATAGCAACTGTCTGAAAACCTGCTACCATGGTAACCACAATATACCTCAGAAGCAGCAAAGCAGTAATAACATACTAGTATTTTTTGGCTGAAAAGAAAGTACTAATTGAATTACAATCATTCTATATTTCTATCTACAACCAGAGAAACAAGGACACGGCATATGATAACCATCCAGGTTAGTTGATGATTGAAAGGGCAACAAAATTCTGAATTGCAAACAAGCACCCTGATGTAAAGAAACATTGAAAATGAAACCGTTTTGGTCTTACTTCATCAGTTTTCAGAGTAATATAGACAAATGACTGAAATAGCAGCAATGCCGTGAAAAACAAGACCCCGTACTCTTCAAATCTTGTGTTCGTTGGCTTCTTATCTTAACTCTCAGCTCCTCATATTTGAATAATATCATCGAGTTAGGGTGCATTTGGCACGTGGATCCAGTGGAAAATAAGGGGTGCAGCATGGTAGGAGCCCACTCCCTACAGCACTGCACTGGTGTGCCAAACAGAACCTTAACATCCTTCCCATGTATCAGTATGCAGCGACACATACCCCAAAGTGTCAAGAAAAAATATCAATTTAACGAGCATTTTAAAGATTGCACACTTAACTGTAGGGAAAGAAAATCATAATTACTTCTGTAGAAGAAATAGAAATAATCAAAAACATTGCAAACTTATAATCAACATGATCTAAGTTCAGTACCAAATAATAAAATACAAAAAATTGCTCAATCAGTCATTATGTCAACAACAATAACTACAAACACAGAGTAATTAACAAATTTATAGTCATACATCTTTTTGGTTTTTGAACCAAATATTTGCAGTGTTAAAAATATCATCAGTTCCACAAAAGAGATTCTCAAAGATAGTTCATAAATAAATCAGATATAACCGAACTAGAAAGCAATAAAACTGTATAATCTGAAAAGAAAGATATCCACAAAGATTGATAATCAAATAAATAAACTTTTCATTTGTAATACCACTTCAACAAAGTCTTTAGGGCGTCTGATTTTGAGAATGGAACCAGAGAAGGTACTGCCATAAAAAAAAAAGAGCTACAGAAGCATCCTCTGGTGTAAGGAATTCAACAAGAGCTTGGCACCTTCCTTTGTGTATCTGCAGTTGAGATTTGTAAGGCATAATATGACATCTCCCTATGTTGCACTCATATGTTTAAAAAGAGTAAAATAAACACCATTCAAAAAAATATATCAGAGACTTACAATGCAGCTAATACATGGTTGGGTTCGTCAAATATGACTAACGCCAGATGAAAGCAAAAAATTATTAAAGGATTCCATAATAGCTTTCTCAGAGGCTGAAGCTGGCAAATTTTCTACATAAAGCCTTCTCAGAGGCCTGGTAGCTTTTGTTAGCTGAACTGTTTGATAGGAGATAGTAGAGATCCTCATCCAACCTGCGAGTTATTATCCACCTTGACCCAAATATCTCATGGTTTTATCCCACAAAAGGTGTCTTGAGATTATATAATATATATATATATATATATCATTCTTTATCCACATATTCTTCTGATGTGAGATTGGAGGCATTTTAGAGACATCATGCTTTGATGATAAAGAGCTTGTTGAAGCCACAACAAGAGGCTTCCCTGTAATTGAAACACTAGGAACAGCACTGACTGCTACATGCATGTTCAAGAAAACCATTTGACTTGATGCCTCCTGTAAATTGGAAGAAACTGAACCAGAAGACACCTTTTCTGTTTCTGCAGGTGCAAGATC